ATCAACATAGATTAGGACATAGGTCACCTGAGTAGCTTCTTTGAAAATAAAAAGGCTGGAATCTGAAACAGAATTCAGAAACCCTTTGTCCAAGAGAGTTTGTTTCAACTTATCAAACCAAGCTCTTGGTGCTTGTATGAGCCCATAGAGTGCTTTATTTAGCTTACATACATGAGATGAAAAATTGATATCTTCAAAGCTTTCACGTTGTTTCATAAAAACAGTCTCATGGAGAATACCATTTAGGAAGACATTGTTTACATCTACTTGTTGGATATCCTAATGATGTGTAACAGCTAGGGTGAATATAATCCTAATGGTTGCAGGTTTTATAACATGACTGAATGTCTCAAAATAATCAAGACCAGGGATTTGTTGAAACCCTTTAGCAACTAGTCTAGCTTTATACCTTTGGAGTGATCCATCAGCATTAATTTATGTTAAAAGATCTTCCATGAAACTCTAAGGGATTGAACTTTTCCAATCTTAGCTCATATTTTTGGAGCAAAAATTGAACTTCCTGTAGAGTTACTGTATCAAATTTCAATTCAATAATGGAGGTTAGATTAACTACTGCAGCATCAAACTCAGGCCCAAGGCCATCAAGATAAACTTAAGGAGGTCTACATCAGAAACTACTTAACCACTGGTCGACGGACTTTGAGTTATACTCTTCATTTTCTTAACATAATCGCTAATGCTAAGATTTTTTTTACTTTGTGTTTTGAAGTAGATTTTTGAGTTGTAAAGCCCTAGCCTTAGAGTGATTAAGAAACTCATGTTCAAGTGCAAACCATATTTCTGTCGCAAACTTACACTTTGACACATTTTCAAACATACATTCAAAAATAGAGGCCAAAAGTCAGGTTACTAAGAATTTATTTGTGCGTTTCCAAGCCACATAAGCAGGATTAATTTTTTGTGTAACAATTTTATCATTTGACCTAGATTAAATTAAAGGAGAAGAATTCTCAAAATTAGAATCAATTAAGGATTCAGGACAAGGAATTCGACATGTTAAATGATCCTCTAGCTCATGAGCACCTACCGCAAAGAGAACCTGCGACCTCCAAAATTTGTAATTGTCTCGATAGCTATCTCTAGTTAGCTTCAGATTGACTACTTGAAGACTAGAGGGAAAAGTTGAAGTAAACGAGCTAGCTAAGCTATTAGATCCTTTCTCCATGTTAGCCATAGTCTGATTGAAGCTAGAATTAGAAGCCATTGATGTGAGTCTCAAGCTTTGATACCATGTGAAGCTTAAACAAGAATGCAAAAATTCTAGAGAGAATCTGTATGTTTAGTGTGTTTACTTTATTTTGTAAATGAATGAATACAAGTAGCAATACACTTCACTCTTTATAACACAAGAGAGAGTGAAAGATGATGAAGTTGTTGTACTACACAAATGAAGGTGTCAAACGACACCGTTTCCCTAACTATTTAACTATTACAAATTAGTACCTCAGCTTTACAAGAATAGCATTTTAGGACTTCTAACTTTACAAATAGGGCAACCTCCCCCTCAAACAGAACTCCTTTGTAGAATCCAATATTGGACAACAATCTAATGGTATAGCTGAAATGAAGAATAGAACTCTCATAGAATTGACTAATGCCATGTTGATTGAGTCATGCACACCTAAAAACATAAATGGTGAAGCTATTTTAACTACATGTCATGTCTTGAATCGTGTGCCACATAAGAAAATTAAGTTAACTCCATATGAATTATGGAAAGGTCATAGGACATTTGAGAGTTTGAGGCTATTTCGCATATGTTAGAGTGCCCGACCCTAATAAACTTAAAATGGGTGTTAGAGCTACCACTTGTGTTTTTCTTGGTTATGCTAAAAATAGCACAGGTTTCTAGACTTTGAAAAAAAAATGTGATTTTTGAATTTAATGATACAATTTTTCATGAAGATAAGTTTCCTTTTAAATGTAAGAATAGTGGGGGTCAAATCATTTCACAAAATATTTTGGATCGGCCTACCTCTTCATCTTCTATCTTAGAAAATCAAAAAAGATGTTTCTACATCCTCTGTTTTGGAAAATAATGTTTTTGAACCAAAAAGAAGTAAAAGAGGTAGGATAGAAAAAGATTTTGGCCCTGAATATTTTGTTTTTAATGTTGAGAATTCTGTAACTTTGCAAGAGGCTTTGTCTTCTAATGACGCGGTTTTTTGGAAAGAGGCCGTAAATGATGAGATGGAATAACTAATTTCTAATAAAACTTGGAGAAGAAAACAAAGTGTGCAAACTAAATAAATCTCTTTATGGCTTAAAACAGGCACCCAAAATGTGGCATGAAAATTTTGATTCTTGCATGATTACTAATAGCATTAAATCAAATGAGTGTGACAATTGCATATATCATAAATCTGTCAATAATTCACATATGATTATTTATCTTTATGTTGATGACATGTTGATTTTTTGCTCTAATTTGCGTGTTGTTTAAGATACAAAGAAAATGCTTGGAAGTCATTTTGATATGAAAGACTTGGGTGGGGCAAATTTTATCTTGGGCATTAAAATCACTAGAACTAGTGATGGTATATTTCTTAATCAATTACATTATGTTGAGAAAATTTTGAAAAAATATAATTATGTTGATTGCAAGCAGTATTTGATATTCCATTTTTTGAAAAAAAATGTTCCATTTATTTTAATACATTGTGATAGTACTGTTGTAATTGTTTGGGTAAGAAACTGTTTTACAACGGTAAATCCCTACCCGTAAGAAGAAAACATAGTATTATAAGATCTTACTTGTGTAATGGCAACATTAACATAAGAGTATATTAAATCTCTTGATAATCTTGTAGATCCGTTGACCAAGGCCTTGGCAAGAGATAGCGTCTAGAGCACATCGAGGGGGACGAGATTGAAACCCATAGAATCATGATCCACATATAAGGACACCCAACCCAAAGACCAGAGATCCTGTAATTGGGTTCAATGGGAAGAACGAATTATATGGTGAACGTAAAAAAAAAAAAAAATGCTTTATTTTTTTCTCTACTTGAACATCCATCCCTATGAAGTGAGTGCATTATCCTGTAAAGGATGAAGGGTTGAGTTACAAGTTCTTAATGAAAATCTGTAGCTCATTATGAGTGGGATGTTGACAATTACATAAGCATCCTTGATAGATTTCACCTATATGACTGTGAAAGTGGGGCTGCTTTCTATGAGAATTGGACTTGTTCTAAAAAAAAAAAAAAAAAAAAAAAACACTTATGAAAACCAAGAGAGCACAAGGTCGTAACGTGCTGGCTTTGGAAGCTCAAATTTTACACCTAGAATGTTATGTGTGAGCACTAATTTTTATTCCCTAAAGCAGTCAAAGTTCAATGCCGAGCATACTTTGGCTCCTGAGTAAAAATTATTGTTTCACGAAGTGAAGGTTCAATGCAGAGCACATCTTCGCTAAGCATAATAGCCTTTAATTGGTATTGGAATCAATTGCACTCACTACTGGCTCACGGTTTGAACTTCCCATTTAGACCAGGTAAATGGAAATATATATTCATAAAAGATAACATCCCTTGTAACCTGAACAGTATGTGATTGCAAATCATACAATAAATGAAAATATATGTTCATAAAAGATAACATTCTTTGTAACCTGAACAGTATGTGATTGCAAATCATACAATAAATACCCTTTTTTTGTTAAAGAATAACCTATAAAAACACAGGTGTAAATCTAAGAGAAAACTTGTCTTTTGAAGAGAGATATCTACGCCTTAACCTTTTAGTTTTCGTGCAATCTTTATTATTCATTATTATATCTCCTTATAATAAAATTATTATTTTTATTTCATTTTCACCAACAGTTACTAGTTACTACTTTTTGTTAATTCAACAAAGAGAGAGTAAAACAGTAAATGAGCCTAAAACTTTTATGAATAACAATATAAATATATAAAATTAATTTGTTGATGGATCTCAATTTTTGTGGATACAAGAATGCGAGTTGGATGATGAGTGGATACATTTGTAAGATCATAATAGGCTTGATATGCATGGGTAGGATAAGGGCATTAAGGTACTTTACTCCTTCCCCATTAAACTAAGTAATTAACTGGGGTTGGGTGAAACATTCCATGTAATTTGTTTCGAAGTTGAAGAGTTACTACAAAAAATTCAAGAACTTAGAATAATTCACGCTATTTAAAGATATGAATAAAGATAATATGTCGACCCACGGGTAAGCCTAACATCATCTCATCTACAGTTTAGAAAGATGTAGATATGGAATGGTAATGGTGGGTGCATTTTCCTCCGAGAAAAAGCTGCACTCTATATTGTGGTGAGGGAAGAAAAGCAGAGAAAAGTTTTACTTCCACTTAACAAAAATCCAAAACGAGATACCATGCCCCAAAAAACTAATAATAGAAGTACTTGTAACTTCATCTAATTTCTCCATAATCAAATGTTGAACTAGCTTTTAGTCTCGTGTGTTCCTTTGTCTATTCGGGCTACTCTAGTGGGCCTCCCCTCCCAATCAGATTGATTGCTTTATAATTTGCAACCCCAAATCATCTGAACCCTTCAATTTGCTCAAATGAAGATAACAATCTAATCTAATCTTTGCTCACAAAGTATTGAATTAACGGTCATGATTAAGAAATTGGGTAATCTATGAATAGGACAGAAAGTTCGTTTTAAGTTATGATTGTGAATAATGTATAACGCAGAAACACCCCATTATCCCATTAAGAATATATAAATTCACATTCAGACACAAACACAAATTCACGGGCGCTACCAAACATCAGCTATGCTTAAACAAAACGTTTTTACAAGCAAAAAGTGCAGCCAGTCTTGTGGCCAGGATCGTTTGTCTCTCTCTCTTTTAGGATGGATGTCAGCAGAAACACCCGTGACCTCTCACTCATCTTCACTTTCTACCTAAACAGCTACTTCCTAACCTGTATATAAACCTTAACACTAGCTGAGTTTCCTCATATATAGAATTCCTTTTCTTCTTCATTAATTCTCTCTCTCATTCTCAACGACAATGCCAAAGTTTCAACATATTTTGTTCACTTTTCTGCTTCTTCTTCTTCTACTCAATGTAAGCCAAACACTGTGCCATACCAAAGGACTCAGACCAAGAAATTCTGGAGGGAAGCATCCGACAACAAATGAGACTAGAGCCCAATTCTCGGAAATGCAATTTATGAAGTGGGTCAAATTTGTAGGTAGTCTAAAACACTCACTTTTCAAGACAGCAAAGAACAAGCTTTTCCCTTCGTATACTTTAACCGTGGCAAAGAACCCAGCGGCCGGAGACTTTACCAAAATTCAAGATGCTATTGATTCTCTTCCTTTCATCAATCTTGTCAGAGTGGTCATCAAAGTCCATGCAGGTGTTTACACGTGAGTACTCTGCAGTGACTTCACTTGAATTCTGATTTTTGTTCTTGTCCTTATTGTTTCTGTATCTTGCTTTTGGCTGTGTGCCTGTGTCAAATTGGTGTATCTCTACTGAACCTTGATTCTAGAGTTTGTCTATATTAATTTTTTTTTTTTTTAAATGAATGCTGAATATATAGGAATGTGATTCTAGTTTTGTTTCTCGTTGTGTTTTTTTCTTTCTGATCAAATTTCTCTGGCAATTGGTCTTTTGACTAAGAAATACTTTATAGTTGATAAATGATTACTCTTGTGAGAACTTTAATTTATTTTTGGATCAAAGGATAAACTTGAGTTGAATTTAATGAAAATGCACTATAATTTTCAGGGAGAAGGTTAATATACCTCCATTAAAATCTTTTATAACCATAAAAGGAGCAGGAGCTGATAAAACAATAGTTCAATGGGGAGACACCGCTCAAACTCCAGGCCCAAAGGGAAGACCTATGGGGACATACAGTTCTGCAACTTTTGCCGTTAATTCTCCATATTTCATTGCCAAGAACATCACATTCAAGGTAATTAATTAACATATATAGCTAACTGTGCCTCTTTTTGTCTCACTCTTTCTAATTGTGCAAAATCAAATATTGTGCAGAATACAACACCAGTTCCAGCCCCAGGAGCCGTAGGAAAACAAGCAGTAGCATTCAGAATATCAGCAGATACAGCAAGTTTTTGGGGGTGTAAATTCTTAGGAGGACAGGATACACTGTATGATCAACTGGGTAGGCACTATTATAAGGATTGTTATATTGAAGGGTCGGTTGATTTCATATTTGGCAATGGGCTTTCCCTGTTTGAGGTTAGTTTCTTTCTCACATTTCAATAACATTATTCTGTGTCATAAGTAGTAATATTAATTTCTTTTTCTAACCGGAAGCGTGAACTGAACATTGTTGTAGCTAGACTGTGCTACTTTTTCTGTTTTTCACCCACCTCCACCTGTGAGGTCTGGCCTTATTTCATTTAGTCCAGGTCAGCACCATTGTAGGATTTGGACCCACAAGAATAATTAAGTCAAATGAATCAGAATCTGACTAGATAATTAGTTTCCGTGTCAGTTGATCTATTTTTATTAGAATATGGTAAAATTTAATTATTAGAAACTTCATGAACAAAACACTATTCTGTGTAAAAATCAGAAAACTGCGATCATAAGATAAAGATTTGGTGGGCTTTGGTAGGTTGTTATATATATATATATATATATATATATGTTGTGTAATTGAGGAGTGACTTGACTTGCAGGGATGTCACGTGCATGCAATAGCACAGAATACAGGGGCCCTAACAGCACAACAAAGAAGCAGTCTATTAGAAGACACGGGCTTCTCTTTCGTGAACTGTAAGGTCACGGGCTCTGGAGCTCTATATTTGGGGAGAGCTTGGGGCCCCTTCTCTCGAGTAGTCTTCGCATACACTTACATGGACAACATTATTATTCCCAAAGGCTGGTACAATTGGGGAGATCCCAATCGTGAAATGTACGTACTTTAATTCTTTTAAATAAATATAATTCTATTCATTCTCTCGGTGCCAAACTGGACATATGCATGGGACGGTGCCATTACCCATTGCCATAACCTTCTCTATCTAAATCACTGTAGGTATTTGTCAGCTTACCCTTTTCAGTAGAAGCACTTAATTAGCTTTTTTCTGCTGGGGCGGTTGTATTTGGGGAACCTCACCCACAGATATATATAATATATGTGCTTGTTTAGGTTTAGGGCCTTTTTTCTACTGCAAAATCTACGTGTAATGCACCTCTCTCTCTCTCTCTCAATTTGTGCATAAAAAACCATAGCCACCTACAAACATGAGTTGGGCTGACACATTATATATAGGAACGCTACTCAGCAATATCGTATATGATTGTGGTAGTTGATGTCAAATCTTTACATAGCATGCGGATGAGAGGTTTTGTATTAACGCGGTTGGTTGTTTTTGGGTGGCAGGACTGTATTTTATGGACAATACAAATGCACAGGACCAGGAGCTAACTTCGCAGGGAGAGTTCCATGGTCAAGAGAACTCACTGATGAGGAAGCCAAGCCTTTTATTTCTCTTAGTTACATTGATGGATCTGAATGGATTAAGCTATAATAATTATCAATATTTTATCCAATCTTAATTTGTTCAATTAACCGCTGCACAAATTCAATAAACAGCACATCTATGCATGATTATGAACAAGGAATCTCACTCCACATGTACACGGAAAACAACTATTTTGATGATCTCTACACTAACACTCCCCTTTTCTATTGTGATAATTCTAATCAGCAACATATTTATTTAATATGAAGTCCCCAAAATTATTTTCAAACTTAAAACATATTAGTGTTGAGTGTTATAAGAAGTTGGTAAAAGTAAGTACGGTCATTTCTATCTTAATGTGTAACTGTGGGGTGGTTTAAAATTATATCATCAGACTGTGTTATCTTATTTCAAAGATGTTATTTGTCTTGTAATTATATTTAGTACAATGGGTTAATGTTTGACAGCCGTATTCTTTATTATGAATCTGACATGGTAAGCGGGTTTGGTGGCCATGTTGAAATTTTAGTAAACATACCATGAATGAATGAATAAATGAATGAATTCTTTTCAGGGCGAGAGCATGGATTAAGTTGGGAGTTAAAAGACTTCGTCTAACCCAAATAATTGTTTAATGACACTTCAGTCCAGGATGTTAGAGATTTTAAAGAGAGGATGTCGATGAATCTTTTAGTGGTGGAATATTAGATTTGGTGGTTGGGATTGATCAGAATTTAATTTGAGAGGGGCGGCTACGCAAACCCTAATCGTTCGATTGCTAACGATTGACGAAGTCAACGGGAGTAGAGTTTGAAGGGTTTTGATAAGTGATGATCAGGGAAGAGAATAGAGGTGATGTGGAGTTACAACGAAGCCATAATCGCAAACAAAATATAAATTTGAGTAATAAAATAATATTTTAAAAATTTGTAAATGAAAAATTGTAATTAAACTACTATTTGGATGGAGAAATGTCGCTTACTCGTTAAGTTGGTTGGATTTGGGCTTGCTTGATACAACTAGGCTTGAGAGTCCAACAGTGGTCAGTGGAGAGGCATCTCCAATGGAACACCAAATTGGTGTAAAAAATATCGAGAGTTAACTGTATTTCAAAATGAGAGTATGAGGAAATAATTGCTTGATCTTGTCCTCTATACTCTACCCTTTTACGAAATACTTTTGAATGATATAAACAAAGAAACAAATTTAATTTCAAATACATTATTCAGAAAATAAAATAATGGGTATATCAACTTTCATCATTATAACACAGTATAAGTCTAATAAAACCGGTCACATAGAGTGATGTCGATCCCACTGTTTGAAAATGTATGGGCTCAGCAATCATCTTTGGAGAAGACAAGTCCTTATGGTTGGTAAAGAAGGAGCTTCCGAATACCCTTTTTGACTGAAAATTCAATAAGCATGGGCCTATTGTTGACATCAACTCAAAACTTTATGGTAGGCCCAAATGAGTAGAAACTTTTCTCACCACTTTTTCATTAGGATATGATTTTTTTCAGTATCAGGCAACACATTACATGTGACCAGCTTGAAATTCCGTTTCCAGGATCCTCCATTTATGCCCAAAGCAAATAACTCTACAGTCATTCTATCTCAATAATGCAGAGACAAACCTTTTACGGCCTTTTGTGTCATCAATTGATCCATATCTTTACAATTGAAGGCTCGTTTTTAGTATTCCGAACAGAGTAAACTTTGATTATGAATCAATTAAATCTGAGTAATTTAACAAAAAGAAAGAAACCACGTCAAAATATCCAAATAGTGGGACCAAATGTGAACATACTATAAATTTCAACGAGTCGGTAATGTTTTTATATTATACGATTCTTTTCAGAATATTGGGTGCGAAAACAAAGATGCAGATGGTGTTAAAAATATTAGGGGAGGTTATATATATACGTGCCCAACTTACCTAAATTGCAGCAATTCTTGAAAGCTTCCTTATCAACACGTTTCACGAAAATTAAATAAAAGTAGTGCTTGGCCGCATATGTTGCCCCTGTTTTAAGTTCAACTTGTTGCACTTGATGATGGCAGAGATGATGCAAAGGCGGCAAAGAGGGACTGGAGTCTTCACAAATCAACACATTAAAAATTTAGTCCATTTGCCATTTGTCAAATTTAAGAAGCTTTTACTTGTAATAAGTTTTATTATTTCATTGGAAAAGTGAATTACTGTTAACACTAACATTCAAGACATGTCAACTAACCCCACATCTAGAGTAATGAAAACGAGCATCCCAAAAGCTTTGAGTATTGTTAGCCTTACTTCCCCTTCTTACTCATTTCTCTTACTCACTCATGTGGTAGGTAGGTATAAGAAGAAAGAGAAGGGAATAAGAAGAGAGATTAACACGAGTGAGTAAGAGAAAAGAGTAAGAAGGAGGAGTAAGGCTAGCATTATTCAAAAACTTTACCTTACCAAGTATGAGAAGTAAGTTTTTTTCTTTTTCGGTAGACTAAGTAACTGAGTCAATTTGTGCGTATTTTAACTAGTTTCGGGATTCATTGAATACCTTACAAACCAAAAAAACTAGAAAATTCACAATGTTATTGTAGTAGATAATCTCAAAATTTGAATCCAAGAACTCAAGGAAGAGAGCAAACCTCTTTGACTGTCAAACCAACCATTTAAGTTAATATGAGAAGTTGATTGACAACTTTGCAATTTTTTCATCCTAGGCTAGAATTTTATTTTTTATTGTTGATTTTTGTAAAGTTGAGGTATATTTGCTTGTGGGTTATCACTTATCAGTTAAATTGATTCATTCTTGCCAATTATGGAGGCATTAAAGAAAAGAAGCAAACAAATTATAGGGACAAGCTGCCACAACAATTTAACAGAAGTAGGGCCAAAAATGATCGTTTCCTGGGGGCTCTTGCTGGCTTTCAGGATTGATTCACACACCGAACAGAGACACAAAAGCTATCACAATCACAATTACTAACACAGTCCCACATGCACACAAAACCAAAGCTCAGAATGAGAGACCATAGGAAGAAGAGGGAACTACCAGATATTGCTTCCAGGAACAGTTGCATTCAATTATTTCAATTTAAACTCAACTAACTGTATTTTTTTTCTCTATTCTTCTTTCTTTAAGTCAAGAAAATGATACCACTGGCAATGGCACTAGATAAAAGATCAAATAATTCAAACTCAGCCCCACAATTCAATGCCCATCAAGTTTTGAGAATGTCAATGAATTTGAAAAACTTGACACCATTTGATAATTTTAATGCACCAAACGTACCATAAAGCAGCTTAAAGTCTTAAACATATACTTCCATGATGTCTTTACATCACTTCACAAGTGACAAAAGAATCTAATTCTACTATTGCATTTTGTCAATTCATTAATGGAAAGCTTGATTCCATTGCATAACATAAACATGAGAAACAGATGCAACAGAATTTTAATGATAATCATATGTAATTATACATATATTCTAGTTTTTTTCTATCACCTACCTTTTTTTTTTAATTAAGTTAAGCACAAAATAGCAGTAAACAACACATTGAAGAGGCAGACTTATCTCTCACAAACTATAGCAGTATCACCACCTTCTTTGAATATAATTTCTCTCTGGTTCTTTTGAGAATTCTGTAGACCTATCGAGCTTACCAATTACAGTATTCTTAAAACTTATAGCATCTTGAACTTGTGAGCATGATCTTTGCATCCTAACACCACTTAGACTAATCCTTGACTCCATCATTTCATTAAGTGAAAGCCTACTTTTCGGACCTGGTTCTGGCCTTTGCTTTGGTGCACTATGTGACCTCAATTTAGCCTTGAAAGACTGTGTATTGGCCATATAATTCGGAAAGTTTGAATATTGCCTGAAAAAATTTTCAGCACAGACACTCTTTGCAGGCGTGACCGGAACTTTAGAACCATCAAGATTGAGAAACCTAGGGGTGCTTTGTGCTGTAGAAAATCTGCATTCATCACCAGTTAGTCCCCAGTCAGATTCTTGAAAATTCCTGGTGTCGGGTATTGACAAACGGGCTGGAACTCTTGATGGTAGTGGAGAGGAGAGTGTTTGATAATGTGGGTCATCACTGAAATCTGAAACAGAATTGTTTGTTCTGCGAGATCTTGATTTAGGCCTCCCTGTATCAACCTCCACAATTTTAGGACTCTCATCAATGGTGTTAAATGTGGTGTCAAGAGAAGCAGACAGTCTTCTGCTATGAATAGATACTGCCTGTTCACTTCTTGTTTCATCAAACCTCTCCTGCAGAACAAAGGGAAACACAATTTAAGGCAAATTGTAAATGCTATACAAATGAAATTAATTTTCTTGTCTTGTAATTTTGGAATTTGGGTTCTGACCATAGATTTTCGTCCTCTAGATTCAAATCTGTTATTATTGATGATGAGGCCACGAGCTTTCTTCAACCGAACAGTGGCTTGTGCTCTTATCAGTGCTTGCATACCGTGAAGCGTTGCAGTGGCTTGTTTCCGCACTAAATAACCTCTAACATGTGCCTGTAACTTCACTAAACCTTTAAGAGCTCGCAGGGCTTTTCTGGCCTGTTTTCATTCCAAAATTTACAAAAATTTATCAAATTACTCATATCCACATAAATTGAAAACACCAATTCATGAAGCTAAAACAATTATAATAGAGAAGGACACTGCATTAAGTATCAGATTCTTTAATAACATACAAAGAAAAGTAGTAGCAGTGTATTAACTTCACGTCAACTAAGTCCCACTTTAACTTTCTTTTTTTCTTGTAATTTTTTTCTGCTGAACACAGGCCTAACGAACTGAGAAACCTAAAACTAGAATAAGAATGAAGAAAGTGAAGAAAGAGCCACTTACCAAATAACCCCTGAAAACGGTCTGAATCTTGACAGCAGCCCACCTTTCTTGGCCACCACCAAACATGGTACCCCTGCCATGACTAGTCAACCTCACCACAGCCACGGCAGCCTGGGCTGCAGCCACTGCAGCATCAGCGGCTGCTGCGGTGGCTGCAGCCACTGCAATTGCGTGCTTGTTCTGTTCTTTCTCTGTCTCAGAATAGTATGATCTTAACCAAGCTGCCTCCGCTGAAGATATGTTTGGCGGTATTGTAGTTGGATTATGACACAAGCCATCAGTGTCTCTCCCTGAGTGGCCAAAGCAACTGGCTTTCTTTTCTCTCCGGTCACCGGAATTTGAACTGTCCTTGTTGTTTTTTATCCCAAACAAGCCCTTTAACCACCTTGTTGCTCTGCCCATTTTTGACTACAGAGACCGAGTGCAGAGTGAGTGAGTGAGAGGACCAAGGTAATAAAAAAGAAGTCTTTAAACTGAAATCTTAAAAATGATAAACATTTAGAATTTCTTAGATGAAGAAAAGAAGAGGCTGTTACCCAGCTCACAATCTTAGGTGCTTTGCTTGTTGCGAAAATTGGTTACACAATACACTTGTTAAAGTCTAAAATCTTTTATGAGAAGATCCATTTTTGAAATTAGGGAAGCAACGAAAACATATAACAAAAGGCTCAAGCCTTAATGGAGTTTGAAACAGATAAAACAAAAATAAAAAGGAAAGAAAATGCTGTCATGGCCTCGTGAAAAACTGCATTACATGACAAAAACATGCCGCTAAGAGATTCAGAGGATTTTGAAAACAAAATTATTTATAAATTTAAAACCAGGCAGTTACTAGTAAACTAATAAAGAATAAAAAAAAAATGACCGAGAAAGAGAAGGAAAAAAAAAAGAAAAAAAAGGAAAAAAAAAATAATAAAGAAAGAATAAAAAAAAAATGACCGAGAAAGAGAAGGCCACCATAAAAGAATCAGATACTGAATAGAAAAAGTAATTTAAAAAGAGAAAAGTAGCAGAAAAGAAGTAAGAAAGGAAGTGAAACGCTCAAAATTTTCATTCCACCAATGGAAAACTCAAGAAAGCTTTGATTTCTTTGAAAAGTAAAATACAACACAAACACAAACATGAACATGGTCTCTCTCTTTCTCATTACTTTATGGAGCGACGTGTCCTTAAAAAGAAAGATACCTCAGGGTCCTCAGTCTCTGACAATCTCGTGAAGCCTTAGATTTTTTATTTATTTTTATTCATCCATCTGATTTTTAAAATTTTTATACAGAAAGTATGCAATTATTGAAATCTGTAAATACTTGTTTTTCTCGCAAGAATATTACCTTCTCCTGCTCTCAAAGAACTCAGTTTGAAAAATTCTTTAAACTTACAAAAGACTACTCATTTCTGGGTATGAATAAATTTGAAAGAATACCCAATAGGTGGATAGATGGTAGATTTTGATTATGATATGACTATGACTCTGCAATGTACTGCCATCTTCTTATTTTTCCTCCCTTTTTTGGGGTCTGAAAAAATATTCCAGTTGTAGCAGGCTAGCAGCATCTAAACTTCTCATAATTCTTTTACACTGTTTTTTTTTTTTAATAAATTAATATATTTACTAAATTCTTCTTCCATTATTTTTATTTCTGTATTAGTTCAACTCTTGTCAATTTATACTCAGTAACTTTTCTCTGAGCCTCCCTGTAAACACAGCAGCTTAAAGATGAAAACAAAGTTTCTTCTACAACCAGACTCGGTCATTTTTCAACCAAACCAAATATTAAATTTATATTTTATATAAATTTAGTTACCGACTGGTTCCAGCCAAACGGAAACAAAATGTCCTTTCGATTGCGTGTTTATATTTACCAAAAAGGATACGAGGGGAGGATAAAAATGTAAATTAAAGTGGATACGAGATCTAGATTACTTAGCTGGCTGGATTGTACATAGACCATGGGAAAAACAAAATCCATAATGAGGTCATGGAGTTGAAATTATTTACGGAAATACTCATTATACAGTATTAGGTTTGACAATTGCCCTTGCTTTGCTTGCATCATTTTTTTTTTTAATTTTTTGGAATTCTGAGTCAAGAGATTGTGTTGGATTCTGACCATGTAATTATCTTTTTTATTAATTTATATTAAGAGGTAATTTGAATGCAAAAGGAGGTTTATCGGGGGACACCAAACAGGACAAGATTAGATGGGCTGTTGTCAAACTGAGACCAAAGAAAAAAGGTGTTGCTCGAAGTGGGATGTACTGGACTTTGGATCCAATCATAAAATAAGCACTTCCTTTATTTGCTACGCTTCTTCCATGAACCATCACACCCTGCAAAATTCTTAACACTAGTTCAGTTGGCATGCACCACCGACTCCAATTTTATCACAAACATTTGTACTAACTTGTTTACATTGTTTTGTTTTATTTAAATTATACTTTTATAGTTCACTCATTCATTCGTACAATCAATTTTTTTTTTTCTTTTCGATGAATAAAGGTATTCAAACCAGCTTACATTTACTTCAATTAATTAATTGGAATCTTAAAACTGTAGGTCAGGTAAGAACTCTAGTGATTATCTTTATTAATGTTTAAAAAGACTCACTCAAAGTTTATAAACTTTTTTACTTTTTACTATCAAATCATTCAACAGTGATTAATACAGTCTAATATATATCAACAACAGTATACATCAGTTTGGTTTAATATTTTTATCCCTATTCTGGATCCTATTCTCCAAATAATGTTTGGACAATATTCTAGAAATATTACCTATTTTTTAAACATTTTAACCCCATAAGTATTAATTTCACTAAATAACCCTAAAAAAAAAGTTTAAAAATTAACAAAAAAACCCCCATCAACCCAACTTGTCAGATTCCGGCAACCACCGTCGGTGATAGCCGGAATCTGTACAAGGCGTAACTTCGACCAGAAAGGTCGGAAGTTCACCGCTGTGGCCTTTTCGCGCAGATCCGCCACGGATGGCCGGAAAAGGCCAGATCTGGCGTCAGCGACGACCAAAGAAATGGCCGTCGTTGACCGAAAACGACGGGCAAAGATGGCCCTGTTTGGCCTTTTCCGGCCGTCGACGACCATAACAGACAGTAGATCTGACCTTTTTTTGGTCAAATCCACCATGGATCTGGCCGGAAAAGGCATAAAGACGTGTTACGGCACAGATCCGACAAGTCTGTGCCGAACGAAATTTTTCGGCCAGATTCCGGCGGTGGTGGCCGGAATGACACTGCAGGGGGTGGGGTCTTTTTGTCATTTTATATGTTAGGGTCTTTAGTTAAATTAGTAAACTAAGGGCTTTTTTACAAATTTTTAAAATTTACCTCGTAATACTCCCATATCCAATAACCCAATATCCCTAAAATCCTATCAAAAATACTAACAAAACGCACCCATAATTATTCGAAAGCTTAATTAATTATGCTCATGCCTCTGTCTTTTCCGGACATAACTACGAAATCTTGCTTGGTTCAGTTCAAAATGGGCTTTGATGCTCAGACAAGCCCAAGCCAACAATACAAATGTGCTGTTACTTCATCTTAATCAAAATGCAACTATCTAAAAACTAATCAACTATAAATTTACAAAATTTCACATAATTTTTTTTTTTTTTTTAATTAGAGCTGTTGGCACTCACTAGCGGACCAATCAAGTCTATCTCTAAGACACCCCATTTCAAAGATTTTAAATTATTTTTTTTTCTTTTGGCACCAAAATGCTGTATGTCATATGGGTTTTATTTTCTGTATCTCTCCTTGTGAGAGTTGCTCTTTATATAGAAGCTGTCGGGCTAATTACAAGGCTGAAAATCAGCCATTACACAGGACTATGCAAGGTAAGAATCAACGCCTATCAATTCTATGCATATATACAATATACTCTTCTATATATAGCTAGACTAAAAAAGGATAGAATATATGCTGCCTTTATAGACTAGGCCAGCACATATCCAACTGTTAATTTTGCTAACATCCCCCCTCAAATTGATGCTGAGCGATCAAGAAGCATCAATTTGTCAATCAAGAACTGATGGCGAGGACGAGAGAGAGCCTTGGTGAAGACATCAGCAGTTTGGTGTTCAGTGGAAATGTGTGGAAGAGTAATCTCCTAGCGAGTAAAGGCTTCACGAATGGAATGACAATCCACTTCAATATGTTTGGTGCGCTCATGAAAAACAGGATTGGCAACAATCTGAATAGCACTGGTATTATCAGCATGAAGAGAAGTAGGAGTAAGCTGTGGAACATTGAGTTCACCTAACAACCCTCGAAGCCATACAATTTCAGAACAGGCAAACGACATAGCCCGATATTCAGACTCGGTGGATGACTTCGAGACACGAGCTTGCTTCTTACTCTTCCAAGAAATGAGGGCATCGCCAAGAAACATACACCAACCCGTAACAGAATGACAAGTATCCGCACAACTAGCCCAGTCGGCATCACTATAACCCTTCAACTGTAAAGAATTCCCTGAGGGAAAAAACAAGCCGCGACCAGATGTCCCTTTGAGATATCGAAGACGACGACGGACAGCAGCCAAATGTGTCTGGCATGGAGCCTGCATAAACTGACTGACCTGCTGAACAGCAAACGAGATATCAGGTCGAGAAATGGTCAAATAATTCAAACTACCCACCAGCTGCCGATACATTGAAGGATCAGATAAGGGATCACCATCCGCCTGACACAGCTTCAAATTGACCTCCATAGGTGTAAGAACCGAATTTTCGTCTTGAAGGCCTGCTAAAGAAAGAATGTCTTGGGTGTACTTATGCTGATGTAAGAGCGTGCCATTCGGACAATGTTGAACCTCAAGTCCAAGAAAATATTGCAGTGGACCAAGATCTTTCATATGAAATGAAGATTTGAGGTGCTGTTGGAGCTGGTCAATTAACTGGAGATCAGATCCAATAATCACAATATCATAGACATACACAAGAAGTATAACGATCCCAAAGGTAGTCTTGCGAAAGAAGAGAGAGGAGTCATACTGACTCTGAGTAAAAGTGAAATCCAGTAGAGTAGTACGAAACTTCTCAAACCATGCCCGTGGTGCTTGCTTCAAGCCATACAGAGACCGCTTTAAGCGACAAACCTCAACAAAAGAGGAAGGAAACAAGCCAAGAGGAGGAGACATAAATATTTCTTCCTTCAGATCACCATGTAGAAACGCATTCTTCACATCCATCTGGCGAAGCGACCATCCTTTCGAAATAGCAATGGCCATAACAATACAGACAATAGTCATTTTGGCCACAGGAGCGAATGTTTCCTCATAATCAAGCCCATAATCTTGCCGATTCCCGAGTGCCACTAGACGAGCTTTATGTCGTTCGATAGAGCCATCAGCACGTAGCTTGATGGTGTAGACCCATTTGCACCCAATAGGCTT